TGCGGATCCAAGGGATAAGAAATCCCCGTCATCGTAGTCGTCATCCGAGTCAGCATCCAATAAAGGCGTACTTAAATGACTGTCGCCTCCATTAGCGGTGCTGCTGCTGCTGCTGCTGCTACCAGAACCCTTATCCTTTGCTTGATCCGCCTTCCCTGCATTTACGTTCGTATCAGTCACTTTTTCCGACAGCGTTAGACGGTCTCCGTCCTCCGTTACCGATCGCTGCTGGAGCTGCAGTCGCCAGAGCAGAATTAGAGAGCCGCCGAGCGAAAGAACGAGGAGGAAAAAGAATGCGTTGAAGCGTGTCGCACGGCTTGTGCGATACGAACGACCGCTGGCGATTGGCGTGCGACGCTGCTGGCGAGGAAGCGACGAAGGAGACTGGAAAAGTCGGCGCATCGCTTACGCTGGTCGTATACTAGCTTACATGCGTTTAGTTCAACTAATCGCGCCTTGAAATGTTCCGCTTTATGAATGCTGACATACATATGAATAACGCGGACCAGGCATCGTTTGTGTTTGTTTTTTCGTGCTAAATTATGTCGTACGCCATCACTTCTTGTATGTTGCTATTCGTACGTAACATTTTCCAGACTATATTCATCTGTACATATCGTTTGAGTAACATCCCGTATAAGCACCATGTTTCACGTTTCGGCTCGTAACCAATCAGATTCTCTTCCTCGATACTGGCCTGATTTCCGCCGCTCATTACAGGCCGCGTGTTTCCCAAGGCTGATGGGGTGTCCGCTCCGTACACCTCTTTTTTTTTTTTTTTTTTTATGCAAAGAAACCCTATAAGTGCAACAATACATCGGCAGTCGTAACTGTAGCTGATGGGCCTAGGGGGAGTGCACCCTCCGTACCCATCCTGATCCTCTAAGGGGGACGGAAAGCAGCCCTCGGGTTCGACCAGATGGCCATGAAACCCTTGGACCACGTGGCAGGTTGAACTGAGCTGTCCAAAATGTGACCCAAGACCCGGCACTCGTCATCATCCAACCCAGGACGAAAGGCGCCGAGCCTCTTAGACACCGCCTTAGCACGCTTGTAGATCCTGACATGCAGCTGGAAAGACGCCGCGATCCTCCGCAGAGCCCTTCTCGCCCGGAATTTGCTGCGCTCGAAAACCGCGTCACACCTCTCGACCCAAATCCGGTGGAACGCGATTGCTGTGATTGTAGCCTCGGGAAAACCCGAAGCTGTACCCTCCTTCTTGAAAATCATATCCCCCAGAGACTCAATTTTCCGATGCGGATTCAGCATGTGGAGAGCCTTCAAAAGCGCCCGTACCACCGGCTGAATGCGCGGGCAGAGAAACAGCCCGTGCTCCAGTGTCTCCTTCTCTCCGCAGTGCGGGCAGGCGACCCCGGCGCCAAGGAAATGCAGCCGCTCCCCCACCTGCAGGTTCCGGCTATGAATCCGGAGCATCACGTCGCGCGCACGATTCGGAAGGGCAGATGAATCCCGTACTCCAATCACTCTCCCCCAGTCAATCGAACGGCCGAGAGACTCCTCCCACGTGGACTGCTGCTTCGGTTTTCCGCCAAAGCGCTTAAAACCCTCCTTGAGACTCCTTAGCTGCGCCGGCCGATCACCCTCCCAGATGGGGGAACACAACAGTCTTGCCCTGGGGGCACCCACCGAGCCAAGAAACCGACCATCCCTGACCACTGCAGGCACCACCTCGTGAGGCAGGAAATTGCGCATCCTCTCCTCTGCTTCCTCCAGGACCCCCCGGAAACACTTGATGGCACGGCAAACTAGGGCTTCGCCTTCCACACCCTCAATCCTCCAGACCCCGTAACTCGTCCCCGTCAGCAGAACGAACTTGGAGGCCGTTAGCACTGTGCGCGCTGTGACTGGCGCCATGAGCATTTGCTTCCACTCATCCGGAGCAGCATCGAAAACCCTCTTCGCCAGCTTCGCCCCCTCAGATCCTCCGAAAGCCCGCTCGAGCTCCTGGGGAGTTTTCAGAGATCTCGAACCGTCCACACCGACCTTGATTAGGTCCCCCATCACCGAGCGCTTTAGCGACTTAGCCGCCTTCTGCCGTCCCGCGGGAGTTTTCCCGTTCAGAAGCAGACGGCGATTAAAAAGCAACATCTCCTGCTCCACCTCCCACACCGACGATACACCGATGCACGAAGGGAAACTGGACTCCAGGAAAAGCTCGCATGTCCGCTTCCACCTCTCACATCTTCCTTCCCACTGCTTTATCAGCCCCGCGTGAGCCCAGAAAACTTGAAGGTCAGGAACATCCAGAGCCGTGAGCGCGAGATCCGCGCGCAATCCCAGTGGTTGTGACGCCAGCAGCGCGATCCTCCTGGCCGCCAGGCCGCCCAGCTCGGCGCAGGGATCACGGACGCCAAGCCCGCCATCCGCTCTCGTTTTGAACAGCAGCTCCTGACTCCAGAGCGCGAAATGCTTCCCTGCCGTTGAATGATTACCCGTGACGAAATTATGAAGCAGCTTCACCAGCTTCGCCCAGACCTCCGAAGGGGGAGGGTAAACCTGCGCCTGGAAAGCGAGGATTGGATTAATGTACCCGTTAACCACCGCGACCCTTCCGGATGTCGTCAGGTAATGTATCTGCCATTTCACCAGCTCCGCCGTTGCGCGCGTCAGGGTGATCTCCCAAGTCACCGACGCGTCTCCTGAAGGTGAGATCCACACCCCTAAGACTCTTTCCGCTTCGTTCGACCGCACCCATTTGAAGGCTGACGACTTGTCTGGTTTCTTGCGCAGGTTCTTCCCCAGGGGCAGGAGTGCAGACTTGTCGCTGTTCACCCGAAGACCCGACATCACACCGAACTCGTTCAGCAGCTTCACCGCCCGGCCAATCTGCTTTTTCCCCTTGAGCACCAGCGTGGTGTCATCAGCGTACCCCAGGTACGCAAGCCGATCCCCGTACGGATTGCTGATTCCCAGCTTCCTCCTTATTGCTTCTTGGCAGAGGGGCTCCACCGCGCAAAGGAAAAGATACGGCGCCAACGGACAGCCCTGCCGAACGCCCTTCCTGACCGCCACCGGCTCCCCCAACCAGCCGTTCAGCAGCAGCCTTGTTGTTGATCCCGCATGAAGACCTTCGCACCACTGTACGAACTTCCGCGGAAAACCCATCCTCGCCATCGTGCCGAAAAGGTATTCGCGGGAGACCGAGTCGAACGCCTTTTGGAAATCCACCAGAAGTAAGTACCAATCCGCATCTTTGCACTTCGCCGCGTCAACGATGTCCGCGATCAGTGAGACCCCATCAGCCAGCCTTCTTCCCGGTAAGAACCCGTACTGTTCCTCCGAAATGACTTTGTGCAGCACTTTCCGCATCCTGTTCGCTAGCACCCGCGCTACTAACTTGTACGTGCTGTTGAGCAACGTGATCGGCCGGTAGTTCTGCACCTGGTCCTTCGCGCCTTTCTTGTGTAGCAAGACAGTGACAGCCTCCAGAGCAGCGGGAGGAAGGACAGCCGTTTCCTCAAACTGCTTCACGAAACCAAGCACGTCACCCCCCAGCGAGTCCCAGTGCTGACTGAAAAACTCCTTCGGAATTCCGTCAGCACCGGGAGACTTGCCTTTCGCCATGCCGTCAAGAGCCTCCTTCACCTCCGCTTCAGACCAGTCCGCTACCAGCAGCAGCGATTGCGCCTCACCCAGCCTTCTGTCAGGAGCGACCGGCCAAAACGTGCTGTCCGCAGTCGGGGTAGGTTCCGAGAACAACTCCGCGTAGAACTCAGAGGCAGCTTCCAGTATCCCGCTAGAGTCCTTCCGCACCGTTCCCTTCCATTGCAGCGACGTGATCATTGTCCTCTCCTTCCGTGTTTTGACCTTTGCAGACATGAGCTTGCCAGGCAGCTCCCCCTCACGCAGCTCCTTGACCCCCGCCATGAGCGAGACCCTCTCCTGCTCCGAGGCGAGGTACGCCGCCAGCTGGGATTCCTTGACCTTCAGCTCCTCCTTCCGGGCGGAGCAGTAGGGATTTCTCATCACCTCCTGCTGAAGAACCGTTACCGCATCGTCCAGGTGAGTCAGGGTAGCTTTGACCCGCTTCCGTTCCTCATTGGAGTATTTCCGCAGTGCCATATTCATTTTCCTCATGAGCGCAGAGAAATCACCCGACCCCGCTTTGTCGTGCTCCTCGCGAACCGCAGCAACCGCTTTCGCCGCACCCGGCCTTCCAATTTCTGCTGCTTTACACCTCCATATTCCAGGCCCCATGCATAGCTGCAGGCTGATTTTGAAGGTCACCTTCACCCCGAACCAATGGTCTGAAAGACCCTTCAGCGGCCGACAGTGTGACGCATCCGAGAGCGACGACAATAGTGGCGCCGAGACGAGAGCCCGGTCAATGCGTGAGCTGGTCTTGGCAGACCTGGACAGAAAGGTGAACTCCTTCAGCACCGGATTCATCCAGCGAAAAGCGTCAGTGAGGCAGTGCGTTGAGCAGATCCGCAGCACGCTGCCGTTTTCACCAGACGAGCCCGCTCCAGACGATCTATCCAGTAGTGGGTCCTCCACCATGTTAAGATCCCCGATCAAAATAAAATTCCTCCTCCCCACCGAATGCGCCATAAAAGGAGCAAGCACCCTGTTAAAAAACGGGCGACGCCTGCAGCTGCTGCTGAATGCCACCCTGTAAGTTCATCGGGGGGGATTAAGGCAAAAGGCATTTTGTCGGTAATAAAGGTGTGAAGTATGAAGGTTGGGTTCGTAAGGTGTGGAGTTTATGGGTTGGTGACTTATAAGCCAGCGTTTGGGGGTTGAAGGGCCAATGAGCGGCAAGAGCAGCTCCAACGTCTGCAGGGCGCGTGAGAGAAAATCTCAAAACCACTGTGAATTTGATGGTGACTTACCGGCCAGTCGTCCAGGAGTTAAGGGCCAATGAGCGGCAAGGGCAGGTCCAGGTCCAGCATCTGAAGGGTGTCTTTTAAATTTCTCAAGAACGTCCTGCACGAGTTGTAAATGTCTCAAGAACATTGTTGAATTTGACTACTACTTACAGGCCAGTCGTCCAGGAGTGAAGGGCCAATGAGCGGCAAGAGCAGGTCCAGCATCAACCGTTGATGGCCTGCTTCCCTCGCCCTCCTCACTGCTGCTCGAGCCTGAAAGGACAGATTCAAAATATAAGCAAGTAGCAGGTAATTTGAGTCGACTCTAAGCACACCTCCTTCCCTCGCCCTCCTCACACTGCTTCTCGAGCCTGAAAGCCCAGATTGAAAAGATAAGCAAGTTGCAGGTAAATTACACCACTCATTTATCAATGGTGCTAACGAGCAGCACAACTGCTTCGGCAGCAGGTGAAGCTGTTGGGTACAGAGATAATTGCGAGCTGACTACGATACTTGCAGTAAAACTGAGTAACCTGCTGACACTCTCAGAAATAGCTATTGCACCCCCCCAAAAAATGAACTACACTGAGGTTGACTCACCTGCTGAACGCTCTCATCAACGGAATCGGGAACGGAGACTCGCCGCGATGGACGAGGCACCTGCGAGGTTACGCGTAAACACCGACGCATATCCTTCAGACGGTCGAACGACGATTTCTCGGTAACTACCGGCAAAATGATTCTATGAATAAACGACATTGCTACTGTTGCTAACCATGCAGACTTATGCGTTGCTGCGAGTCATGCGTACGAATCCCTTGCCTGTGGTGACTCGTCTTCGGCTGAAGCTGTGCCATCTGAGGAGGCAGCTCGGCAGGCGTGCAATCCTAGCCGAGCGTTTAACCTCCTCGTAACTTGCCTAGTCTCTTGAACTTTGCCGACAAATGCTGAAGGCCCGAAACTACTAGCGAGGCGGGAAACGGATGCTCGTGATGCTGCTTGTCTTGAATTGCGGCATCGCAAAGCGTGCTGTGGTGCGGGATGGAGGGCTGGATTACCGCGGTGGAGCAGGGAATCCATGATGCAAGCAACAGGAGATAGTGAATCTTGATAGAACTGCGACAGAATGGACAGAAATGCAGGGTAGGCTGTGAATTTCATTGAAATGCTAGAGGGAGGTGGTAGAGGCGATGGAAATTGGAATGCCAGTCACAGAAGTGCTAGATTCGTGAACCAGCAGTCAACCCAGATCAACCGTACATAAACTGACACAACCAATTCGACAAGGATGCCATTTTTTTGGAAACGCCGAGCCACGTGGAGGCCTCACAGCACGTTGGTTTAAAGGTTTAAAGGTTTTTATTAGGTCGTAACCTGTTACAAACATGCAACTAGATGAGAAAACAAGCATAAGCCTTTTTTTTTTTTTTTTTTATGCAAAGAAACCCTATAAGTGCAACAATACATCGGCAGTCGTAACTGTAGCTGATGGGCCTAGGGGGAGTGCACCCTCCGTACCCATCCTGATCCTCTAAGGGGGACGGAAAGCAGCCCTCGGGTTCGACCAGATGGCCATGAAACCCTTGGACCACGTGGCAGGTTGAACTGAGCTGTCCAAAATGTGACCCAAGACCCGGCACTCGTCATCATCCAACCCAGGACGAAAGGCGCCGAGCCTCTTAGACACCGCCTTAGCACGCTTGTAGATCCTGACATGCAGCTGGAAAGACGCCGCGATCCTCCGCAGAGCCCTTCTCGCCCGGAATTTGCTGCGCTCGAAAACCGCGTCACACCTCTCGACCCAAATCCGGTGGAACGCGATTGCTGTGATTGTAGCCTCGGGAAAACCCGAAGCTGTACCCTCCTTCTTGAAAATCATATCCCCCAGAGACTCAATTTTCCGATGCGGATTCAGCATGTGGAGAGCCTTCAAAAGCGCCCGTACCACCGGCTGAATGCGCGGGCAGAGAAACAGCCCGTGCTCCAGTGTCTCCTTCTCTCCGCAGTGCGGGCAGGCGACCCCGGCGCCAAGGAAATGCAGCCGCTCCCCCACCTGCAGGTTCCGGCTATGAATCCGGAGCATCACGTCGCGCGCACGATTCGGAAGGGCAGATGAATCCCGTACTCCAATCACTCTCCCCCAGTCAATCGAACGGCCGAGAGACTCCTCCCACGTGGACTGCTGCTTCGGTTTTCCGCCAAAGCGCTTAAAACCCTCCTTGAGACTCCTTAGCTGCGCCGGCCGATCACCCTCCCAGATGGGGGAACACAACAGTCTTGCCCTGGGGGCACCCACCGAGCCAAGAAACCGACCATCCCTGACCACTGCAGGCACCACCTCGTGAGGCAGGAAATTGCGCATCCTCTCCTCTGCTTCCTCCAGGACCCCCCGGAAACACTTGATGGCACGGCAAACTAGGGCTTCGCCTTCCACACCCTCAATCCTCCAGACCCCGTAACTCGTCCCCGTCAGCAGAACGAACTTGGAGGCCGTTAGCACTGTGCGCGCTGTGACTGGCGCCATGAGCATTTGCTTCCACTCATCCGGAGCAGCATCGAAAACCCTCTTCGCCAGCTTCGCCCCCTCAGATCCTCCGAAAGCCCGCTCGAGCTCCTGGGGAGTTTTCAGAGATCTCGAACCGTCCACACCGACCTTGATTAGGTCCCCCATCACCGAGCGCTTTAGCGACTTAGCCGCCTTCTGCCGTCCCGCGGGAGTTTTCCCGTTCAGAAGCAGACGGCGATTAAAAAGCAACATCTCCTGCTCCACCTCCCACACCGACGATACACCGATGCACGAAGGGAAACTGGACTCCAGGAAAAGCTCGCATGTCCGCTTCCACCTCTCACATCTTCCTTCCCACTGCTTTATCAGCCCCGCGTGAGCCCAGAAAACTTGAAGGTCAGGAACATCCAGAGCCGTGAGCGCGAGATCCGCGCGCAATCCCAGTGGTTGTGACGCCAGCAGCGCGATCCTCCTGGCCGCCAGGCCGCCCAGCTCGGCGCAGGGATCACGGACGCCAAGCCCGCCATCCGCTCTCGTTTTGAACAGCAGCTCCTGACTCCAGAGCGCGAAATGCTTCCCTGCCGTTGAATGATTACCCGTGACGAAATTATGAAGCAGCTTCACCAGCTTCGCCCAGACCTCCGAAGGGGGAGGGTAAACCTGCGCCTGGAAAGCGAGGATTGGATTAATGTACCCGTTAACCACCGCGACCCTTCCGGATGTCGTCAGGTAATGTATCTGCCATTTCACCAGCTCCGCCGTTGCGCGCGTCAGGGTGATCTCCCAAGTCACCGACGCGTCTCCTGAAGGTGAGATCCACACCCCTAAGACTCTTTCCGCTTCGTTCGACCGCACCCATTTGAAGGCTGACGACTTGTCTGGTTTCTTGCGCAGGTTCTTCCCCAGGGGCAGGAGTGCAGACTTGTCGCTGTTCACCCGAAGACCCGACATCACACCGAACTCGTTCAGCAGCTTCACCGCCCGGCCAATCTGCTTTTTCCCCTTGAGCACCAGCGTGGTGTCATCAGCGTACCCCAGGTACGCAAGCCGATCCCCGTACGGATTGCTGATTCCCAGCTTCCTCCTTATTGCTTCTTGGCAGAGGGGCTCCACCGCGCAAAGGAAAAGATACGGCGCCAACGGACAGCCCTGCCGAACGCCCTTCCTGACCGCCACCGGCTCCCCCAACCAGCCGTTCAGCAGCAGCCTTGTTGTTGATCCCGCATGAAGACCTTCGCACCACTGTACGAACTTCCGCGGAAAACCCATCCTCGCCATCGTGCCGAAAAGGTATTCGCGGGAGACCGAGTCGAACGCCTTTTGGAAATCCACCAGAAGTAAGTACCAATCCGCATCTTTGCACTTCGCCGCGTCAACGATGTCCGCGATCAGTGAGACCCCATCAGCCAGCCTTCTTCCCGGTAAGAACCCGTACTGTTCCTCCGAAATGACTTTGTGCAGCACTTTCCGCATCCTGTTCGCTAGCACCCGCGCTACTAACTTGTACGTGCTGTTGAGCAACGTGATCGGCCGGTAGTTCTGCACCTGGTCCTTCGCGCCTTTCTTGTGTAGCAAGACAGTGACAGCCTCCAGAGCAGCGGGAGGAAGGACAGCCGTTTCCTCAAACTGCTTCACGAAACCAAGCACGTCACCCCCCAGCGAGTCCCAGTGCTGACTGAAAAACTCCTTCGGAATTCCGTCAGCACCGGGAGACTTGCCTTTCGCCATGCCGTCAAGAGCCTCCTTCACCTCCGCTTCAGACCAGTCCGCTACCAGCAGCAGCGATTGCGCCTCACCCAGCCTTCTGTCAGGAGCGACCGGCCAAAACGTGCTGTCCGCAGTCGGGGTAGGTTCCGAGAACAACTCCGCGTAGAACTCAGAGGCAGCTTCCAGTATCCCGCTAGAGTCCTTCCGCACCGTTCCCTTCCATTGCAGCGACGTGATCATTGTCCTCTCCTTCCGTGTTTTGACCTTTGCAGACATGAGCTTGCCAGGCAGCTCCCCCTCACGCAGCTCCTTGACCCCCGCCATGAGCGAGACCCTCTCCTGCTCCGAGGCGAGGTACGCCGCCAGCTGGGATTCCTTGACCTTCAGCTCCTCCTTCCGGGCGGAGCAGTAGGGATTTCTCATCACCTCCTGCTGAAGAACCGTTACCGCATCGTCCAGGTGAGTCAGGGTAGCTTTGACCCGCTTCCGTTCCTCATTGGAGTATTTCCGCAGTGCCATATTCATTTTCCTCATGAGCGCAGAGAAATCACCCGACCCCGCTTTGTCGTGCTCCTCGCGAACCGCAGCAACCGCTTTCGCCGCACCCGGCCTTCCAATTTCTGCTGCTTTACACCTCCATATTCCAGGCCCCATGCATAGCTGCAGGCTGATTTTGAAGGTCACCTTCACCCCGAACCAATGGTCTGAAAGACCCTTCAGCGGCCGACAGTGTGACGCATCCGAGAGCGACGACAATAGTGGCGCCGAGACGAGAGCCCGGTCAATGCGTGAGCTGGTCTTGGCAGACCTGGACAGAAAGGTGAACTCCTTCAGCACCGGATTCATCCAGCGAAAAGCGTCAGTGAGGCAGTGCGTTGAGCAGATCCGCAGCACGCTGCCGTTTTCACCAGACGAGCCCGCTCCAGACGATCTATCCAGTAGTGGGTCCTCCACCATGTTAAGATCCCCGATCAAAATAAAATTCCTCCTCCCCACCGAATGCGCCATAAAAGGAGCAAGCACCCCGTTAAAAAACGGGCGACGCCTGCAAGCCTTTGCCGGGAAATAAGCAGCCAGGATCGTGCAGTAGAAGGAGTCCCACTGGACATCGGCCTGAAGCAGCCGGCCCGAGCTGTGAGTGACAATGTTAGTGAAAACAAGAGACTTGTTAAAACTCAAAATGGCAACCCCTCCTGCCTTCCCCGCAGGACCGATCGCATGGCAGTGAGGAACTTTGAGCTTCTTCCAGAAATCGTGATCAGCACCAATCCGTGTGTCAGCTAAGACGAAGATATCAGGTGGCTTCTTTAGCCATGCCTTCAGATGCTTCTGCTTCCCTCTGCTCCCGAGCCCGTTGACATTGAGCTCGCGTATCGACAGGTAAGAGGCTTTATTCATTGGGAAACCGCCGAGAAGCCCCAAGCATCCACGGGCTGAGTGAGACACG